TCTCTGGTTGGCTGCCCTCCTTTCCCGCATGCCATTGGATCGCAGAGAGACACGGGATTGGCTGAGGCCAGGTGGTCCAAGATGTCTGCGCCCTAATCCGACGCCACTGTAGAATACCCGAGCCCTAATAGGTAAAAGACTGGTACGACAGAACAGGCTTTATTGACCAATCACAAGCCAGAGCCACGCGTCAGGCGCCTTCCATCCGAGTCCACCGCGCTGGCCACACCGCCTATTATATACTGCATCTCCTTCGTGTCCTTCTCTGGTTGACTGCCTTCCATTCCCGCATGCCATTGGATCGCAGAGAGACACGGGATTGGCTGAGGCCAGGTGGTCCAATATGTCTGCGCCCTAATCCGACGCCACACCACACCACACTAAAGGAAAATGTGTCAGTTTGGATCAGAAGTGGAAATCTATTCAAATCCATGTGAGGGCACAAGCTATAATGTAAGTTTGTTTATGGCTGTACAGTTATTAAATTTGGTTTTGTTTCTCATTTTATTTGACTCATTCTTATACAATATCTTTTGTCGGGACAAATTCCTAATTTCCAAAGAAGCGAAATTGGATTGTAGAACTAATATATTCACGTAAGGAATGTAATTGGTTTTTTTTATGGGACAATTCTCTTACGTGTCCATTTAAGCTAGCAATAACTTAGTTTGTCTATATATCGTATGTTAGTCATTTTACAAGTCGTCAGAAATTGTTTCCCTTTTGGGTAGAGTAAATATCAATGCAAATCCTAATTGACTAGCATAATAGGCCTTGTAGGAAGCGTTTCCATTTTTCATGCTTGCACTTTTGATTCACGCGACTTTCCTTTGTTTCATTAAGTTTAAACTGAATTCCTTCTTATGAGTTTCCATACCACGGGGTTGAGATTTTATTCTTACTGATAATGGGATAGTTATGTTTTGGAAAGGTAATCTTGAAACCTGCACTTTTCTGTGACGAATTTGAGGGTGTTAATGCGACTGTAAATGAGGTGGCAGCCACTAATAACGCGCCCAGTGTAAGCTCAGTGCAAAATGTGGTTGCGGTTACATGAACTGGAAAACAGAGAAAGATTATGGCAAGTAAGCAATTCCTTCATTTAGCAAGAAGCCAAGTATGTTTTATTTTTTTGCATATCCGCAATTGGATTGTATTTCT